CTTGTCCTCCCAATACAAGAATTATCCTTGATCAAAACTCTATGTGAAATCAAATAAGCTTCATATTCTAATGAAATATTTCCTGCAGCATGATGCTGCCACCACCTTGCTTCACCAAGTGTTAAGTGTGATATTTAGTGTTAGTTTTCCTCCGTATACAGAGCTTTTCATGTCAACCAAATTTTGCCCTCCTCTGACCACAATACATCCATCCAGTTGTTTGGTTTGTTCCCTACTTGTCTTATTTCTACTTACAAGCAGAACTGATGGGTTGATTTTAACAATGGCCCTTCTTCCAAAAAAGCTTTTATGTTTGCAGCATCAAATTTGTAAGATAATGAACCTTTTGCATGCACCAGCTTAATTAAAAATGCAGAAAAGAGCCAGTCTCAATCTAAAAAAAGATTTTTTCAAACAACTTAATGTGGAATATTCAAATTACCTTTGCAGAATATGACCCATACTGCATCTAAGTGCAGAGTTTTAATTAAAGCAATTAAGTTAATTAAAAGTCACCCATTGAAATTAGCACATTTATCTCGTGCTAATAGAGAGTGCTGGATCATCTCTTAAAATCTCCTCAAAAAAGCTATGCATGGTGTCCTTGCAAATGTGGAGCATCATGGTAAAGATATGTATATAAAGTGAAATAGGAGTTAAGCTCCTTCGCCCCACGCTGATAACCCCTCTTCACTAGCCTCTCAACTCCCTGATGTAGTGCTTTGGGGAAAAAAGGACATTTTAAGGTTGTGTCAAAAGCTTGTTGAGACATAGTAATAGGGCTGCTCATCTGGTGATGATGAAAAAGAGAGATCTGCTCAAAAGATCTAATTTCACAGTCAGAGCTTGGAATGCTGCAGGCACAGAAAGTAGTTTTCTGCAGCATGGATTGGTAAAGAGCACCAGCTCCCCCTACAGACAAGTTTAGAGTGAGGAACATCACCAGGAAAAGGTTTAAGGAATCTTAAGCAGCATTTAAATCGGACTTACCAATCCATTACCCAGTGTCCTAATGTTGTTCATGGAGGTTTATTTTTAAGTATCCTCGCTCAATCTATGTTTTTGTTCTGTTTTATCTAATAACAATCCAGTGTTTTTAAATGTTGCCATAAAGTTAAATATGACCCAGAATCTTGCATGACTGGTAAAGTGTGTATTTTAATTTACCGGTATGCTAAAATATTGAAACATTTTATAATTAAGATTATGTTAAACTTAGTAGATTGTTGCCACTCCTCCCCGTTATCTGTACTTTGTCAAAGTTAAGTGATTTAGATGACTTAGACTTGAAGTGTAAACAAAAAAGAAATTACTTTTAAAACAGCTCTAGATATTTTCATTTTTTAAAGTGCAGCCTTGAAAATGGCACTAAACACATTAAAAAATAGTAATATAAACATATGACTGTATATTTACAGTTCTAACATTAATTATTTTCTTTTTTTTATAACTAAAATTACCCATTTTACATAACATTCAGCAGTCTAATGGCATTGGGAAGAAACTGTTCTAGAATCTGCTGGACCTTCATCGGATGCTTCAAAGCCTCTTCCCAGCAGGCAGTAGTGATCTGCATACTCCTTATACACCCGCCCAGGTATATTATCAGGCCCTGGGGCCTTCCTTTGGTTGACTCTCCTCAGTGTTTTCCTCACTTCAGCTACGTCCAGGTTTAGTGTCTCCTCCCCCTGGTGTGGAACAGCTTTCACTGCTGGGGTGCTGTTTAGTGCCTCAAACCTTCCAAAGAAGTTGTTCTGTTCATTTAGGAAGTCAGTGTTTGCTGCATCTACCGGGGGTAGGGTGTGTTCTGTGATCATCTGAATGCCTTTCCACATCCTCCTGGTGTTGCTGCTTTTGTGGAAAACATCCTGGATCTCCTGACTGTGGTTCTGATTCGCTGATCTGATGGCATGGTTTTAGTTGGTAGCGGCGGTTCTCAGTGCCTCCTTATCACCAGACTTGAAAGCTGAGTCCCATACTTTTAGTGATTTCCGAACCTCTCCATTTATCCAGGGTGGTTGGTTGGCCCGGTTCGTGATGTTCTTTTTGATGCAGACGACCTCAATGCATTTGTTGATTTAGGCTGACACAGTCATAGCATACTGGTTGATTAGACTTTTTTCTTTTTTTTGTTGCAATTTTTTTCCGCTAATTCAAATGTCCTTAAATACACATTACCATTAATTCAACACACTGCAGTAAACAGATAAATGGAGGCAGAAGATGTCTTTCTGTCATC